GACACTGGGGAGCAGTGTTCTCGGGGGGAGGGGGAGCGGGGAGCTGGGGCCACCGGGTTGGGGGGAGGGTGCCTGGAGTTCCAGAGCCTGGGGTGGGCGGAGAGATGCGCTAACAGTAATCTTCGGAGGTGGCGGGGGTAGGGAGCTCCGGAAATCGGGGGCCTTTGAGACCGTGTCTCGATCAGAGCCGTGTCATTGTCAGATACCTGAGACTGCCCCTCTCTTTTCTTGCATGTGGCGTGTGTGCGCGCGCGCTTGCGCGCGGGCGCGCGGGTCCCTTAATCTACACGATAAAAGCCTTAGTTTATTCCTTTTCGTCTAGCGGACTTATTCAGGTGCGTCACTAACCTCCTTTCCTTCGTCCGCATCCTGTCCAAATGAACCGTTCCTAAACCGGCCTCCGGTCGCGCTCACCAACCCTCCAGGGCCGTGGCTCACCCAACCTCGTGTTCTTGTGTCTTTAACTGGGAGTCTGGTTTGGAGCCAAAGTCCAACAACTCAGGGCGGGCTGCTCAAACTCCACGTTTTATTGAAAAATTTCAGATGAAGACCGGCCGATTCAGAAAGCCTCTAACCATCTGAAGCATTTATTGAACCAGGGTTCCCAAGCAGAGCTGTGCCCGAGTCAAGGGCTGATCATAGCATAGCGGAGGGTGTTGATGAGGCAGGACTTAAGGGAGGAGGTGCGTTCTAGCACGAAATGGAAAGACAACTAAGACGAATTCGTAGAGACTGGCAGGGGGTGGCTTGGAAAAAGCTGATGCATAATTAACCAGAAGTACCTGGCAGGCTAGGTTGGGTGGATGGAGGCCAGAAGAAAGGAAGTCTGAAGAATCGAAAGACGGTTGTGATGCACTGCGGTGTGAAAGAAAATTTGCCCTTGAGTTTTGTAAAAAGGGGCTTTAAAGCCTGTCTGCTGTAAAATGTTTACCATTTCACAGAAGTTTCTCTCAGTGATGCCCTGGGGGTGTGACTGAGTCTAACTTGAATCACTGACCTGCAATATAGTGTTATGGCAACAACAGCTAATTTTAAAGGGACCACCCACTGTTCTAAGTGCTTTACGGTTTTCAAATCTTTTAGGTGTTATTTTTCCCCCCTTTGCAGCCTGGGAAATGGAGGCACCACGACCGTAAATAACATGCCCAATTGGTAAAAGGGAGATTTGAACCCAGGCAAGCTGCTTCTAGATCTCATGCACTTAAACCAGAACATCCAACGACTTGCTTTGCGCAAAGAAAACTAGGAGGGAAGGACAGTTGGATTTAGGAAAAGGCTTTCATTTTCATTTTATAAATGAAAGGCTACCTTCATGGTTACAGCAAATCCTTTAAGTAGGTCAAAGAAGATTTACTTAGTGGCTCAAGAAGAACTTAAATTATTGATAAGAATTATTTATAACTATCATTCAATGCTTTAAATTTCTAAAATTACTTAAAGGTATTAGAACATTCTCTATAGAAGTTTCAGCCTTCTCTCTTTTTAAAGAAGTTTTCTGCTAGTAACTGACTTAGCAAACTCTTACACAACTAGGCTAAAGGTACATTTTGGTCTTTTTTTTTTTTTTTCAGCGTTTATTTATTTTTGGGACAGAGAGAGACAGAGCATGAACGGGGGAGGGGCAGAGAGAGAGGGAGACACAGAATGTGAAACAGGCTCCAGGCTCTGAGCCATCAGCCCAGAGCCTGATGCGGGGCTCGAACTCACGGACCGCGAGATCGTGACCTGGCTGAAGTCGGACGCTTAACCGACTGCGCCACCCAGGCGCCCCATGGTCTTGTACCTTTATTGAACAATCACCAATTCCTGATTAATGAATTTCAAATAAATGAGATTTTGCTGTAGTTACTCAACTAGTGTTTTGTTTTAGTATTTTTTATTTTTCCACTGTCTGTAGTCTTATTGTTTTAAAGCAAATTTAAATTTAAAACAATTTAAAGCAAATTTCCTTTAACATCTGGACTAAAGACCCATGCTAATTTGTAAAAGGAATTAAGATTTAGACATTTATAAATCAATCCTGGGATTATAATTCAATCCTGGGAATGAATAACTTGAATCTGGGGCAGAGTAGGAAAAATAATTTCATACTTTTTTTGTACTCCACAAACAACCTAAGCTGTTACCAATCTTTTAGTTGCATAATCAGCTCACTTAATTGGGGAAAATATAATAGTTCACACTGAGTGAAATAATGGAATTGACTATAAATGAATGTGTGAAAACTCTAGTTAGAGAAAATCATATTTATTTTATGACTGAGAGTGGTGAGACTGGCTATAATAAACTATGATATTCACTAAAACACTCAGTTTTACAAAGTCAAAACGTCTGAAACCTAACTTTCAGAAAGCCTTTATGATTTCTGCTTTTCTCTTTTCTCTTCCGTCTTCCACTCCACATGAGGCACAAGATCAACTGATGCCATGGACTGGTGTCATCAAAGCTCTTTGGTGCCAACCCAGACATCTGTCTTTGCTATACCTTGACAAAGTCAAGTAAAAAAGAAATAAGGAGTCAGCAAAACTGACCTAACTTACTAAAAAAACAAACCGAACCAAACCCAGTATAATGACTTTTCCGTAATTACTACCAATCTTTAGAAATAATTTTCCATAAGCTTTTTTTGAGATATCAAAATGTGTACCCCAAACCCTACCCAGGCTAGGTTTTGTGGTTTAACTCCAGTCAGCTAACTGCCTCTTGTCAGTGAAAACCACTCTCACACCTCATGGGCTTGGCTAAACAGATAGAAGCAGCCGGCTGACTGCCATTCCCTAAAGTTTCACTGGGAGATAAGGCATCTCTAAGGTAACCAGAACTGACTACCAAGTTCTTGATGAGAGGAATCACCAAGTATTACATTGGAATGCCAGTGCCAGTGTTTAGAGGCAGAACCCAGCCAGTTCTCCCAACTGAAAGCTTGTCAAACCAAGACCACAAATGTTTTTTTGTAGTTCTGTAGAGGCTCTGTACATTTGGGTGCTGAGTGGTCCCCACTGCAGAATGCAATCATATACGGGAACTGTAGCAAACTGGACAAATGTTTTTTCCCCATGTGGTTGCTTTGGTGATGTTTTTAGAGACCAATTTATAGGCTTATTTGTGTTTCTCTCTACAGTCATAAGATGAAGCATATATAAAAAATCCACAGCAAATTTGATGTTCCCTAGTAGGGACAGTGAGCTTTTTGTAAAGCCTGCAGAAAAAACAACAACAACCATATGCTATGATATTTGCTAATTATATATCTGTTTTTGCAGGAAATAATTTTTTTCCTAGTCTAATTTTTAACCCAAACTAATCAACTGACCAAACAAAACCCACTGTGGACCCAGTACCCAGGATTCTGTATAAAAAGAACTCTGTAAAGTTCAGTCCCTCTCCTCATAATATACAGTCTAAACAAAGTGCTTCCCTTCCCTCAAATTGAAAATAGTCATAGTGTTGTCATCCAAACTCATCCAGGTCAGATACAGTAACTACCAGATTATAGAGTCTGAACTTCCTAATGGTGGAAAACCTTCTGGCAGTGGCATCAGATGTAACTATGGCAACCTTGGAAGAAAAGTGCAATCTGCAGGCCAGGCAGAAGTCTGGAAGCTAGAGTGAGAGTGGTGGGGACACTGAGTTCTTATCTGGCACTA